AGACTGCCTGTGTCATGGTGAATACAGTCGCTGGTTTATTTATGTCTGTATAGGCCGTTGTTGTGAGTGTGGACGGTCGGAGCATATATAACGTTAGCTTAGCCAAGCTCCATTTAGAAAGCACGCATTTTAAAAGGGTGTTTCGCCTGCCGTCTGTCTGCAGACTTGTCAAAGCCTTAATTCATGGTTTTTACTAACCGGTATCAGTATGTTGTTACTTCGGCATCATTTTGAAACGTGTATTACAATTAAATCACGGTCAAATATGTTCATCTTGTTGTAGTTGTAGCCCCCTTGCCAGCGATTCTCTCTCTAGTTTAGCATACTCAGTCCGACTCAGCCTGGTTGTTCCTGGCCCTAGAACCACGATGTTATGGGGCCAGAAAAACTGTGAATTAGGACCCGCTAGCCGGTACTAGACCCAGTGGAAACGCAACCAAAAACGGGCTCGGCACGCTTAAAGCGAGCTACCCGCTGCAGTGGAAATGCGCCATTAGACACCCCGGCCCAGCATAACGTACTTTCCACTTGCCCGCTCGGGCCACTAAAAATATTGCTTTAAAAAAAAAAAATTGGCCCGTGGTATTGGTATTTTGACAAGCAATTTTGTTAAATTGTTTCGTTTAACGCTACAACATAGCGTTTCGTGAGGCGGTTGTTGTTGTTGTTGGGTGAAAAGCAAACAGCTGTTTGCTGCGGAGTAGAGCACAGCGCGAGCAGGCTCCCGTGCGGGAGCGCGCTCCTTCACTACTGACTTTCGCGCCACCTAACCATTCGCCAAAATATTATTATATGAATATAATGAAGGTTCTAATCTAATCTATTACATAACCATTACATTTCTAACTCCTGATAATGACAGGAAGGCAGAAAGCGCATTATACAAATAATAATACTCATAAGGATAATAGCAATGATTTTAACAATGACCACAATATAATTATTTTATTAAACCAAATATGAACAATTGAGGAAAATGAGAAAGAACTGATGATTCAAATGTTGTAGTAATGTAGTTTGTGCATAAATTACTATTGCAACAACAAATGTGTGTCATGGTTTTGGATTTATGTTTTCATTTTCCACCTTTTTTATTTTGAAATGCTTTCCTTCTTGCGTCTTGTCTGGTCCTGCTTCCTGTGTTTGCCTCCCTGTCGTTAGTTTCCCTGGTGTGCCTCATTGTGTTCACCTGTTGCCCTTGTGTTTCTGCCTCCCCTGCCCAGCTGTGTCTTTGTCCTGTGATTACCCTTCTGTGTATTTAGTCTAGTCTTCCGCTGTGCTCCATGTCTGTTCGTCGTCATTTCATAGGATACCTGCCCATCGCTTCATGTCCATGTTGCACACTCGTCTATGCTCGTCCATGTCTCCTGCCTGTTCACGTCTATAAGTTTGTTCCTGTCTGTCGTGCTCCCCGGTTTTGTTTATGTTAATTAGTTTCTTGTTTTTCCTGTCTTCTGCTTTTTTAAATAAAGCTCGCTTTTTGTTACCAAACCTTTTTTGTATTTTTAACTGCACTTGTGTCCTAATTTCCCCCAACCTGACAATGTGTTCATTTTCTTAATTATTAGTCGATTTTCTGGACGAATGCTCTTGGGCCAGTGGTTACAATGGTGGGGCCAGTGATAATGATTTGTTACCCTTGATGTCTACCCCTGCTTGTGGCAATTATCAAAGTACATTTCTTGTTCATACCTGGCTACAGACTTAGAAAGATAATACAAATAAAGACAAGAAAAAGCCAAGGAGGGTGTGACTAATCATCACAGGCAAATGGTTACCTTGTTGGCACATGCAGGTATGAAAGGCATGCGTGCTATTGGCTGCTAGCATACAGCATGTCTACATGAATGATGTAACATATGTATTTTGTTTGGTGTAAAAACAACCAGGTTTATACAGAGTTATGGACAAAAAGAACTTAAAACAACCATGGTGTAGAAAGGGCCAAGAAACATGTCAAATTGGAGAGTGGGGGTTACAAATACCGTCTGAGAAGGGGAGATGAGTGGGCACACACACACACACACACACACACACACACACACACACACACACACACACACACACACACACACACACACACCAAAGGAGTGAATGAATGAAAGGCAGGACTGTGGAATGGAGGGAGTGAATGGGTAAGACTGATTACATTTGAGGATGGGAAAAAAAAAGGTGACACTCATTCAAGTCACAAAGAACAACCACAGGCACAGAGATAGAATCCAGTGTGCTTTGCTGTTCCACATAATTAAACTGATGAACGCCTTGATCTGTGGAGTCCAAGGGAAACGTCAGCAGTGTAACCTGTAGGAAACTTAAATTCCTGATAGGTGAGGTATTAACTCTTAAATCAACCATTCACTTCAGCATTAGCTTGCATACAATGTTGGCAAAGAGATATAACATGTGGACAGCCCTGCTCTGAAACAGTCTGATGCCTGAGATCGCTTCCGTTCCGATGATAAAAGTTTTTATGCAGAAATAAAAACACTTATCTTGGTTTAAGACTTTAAAAAGCCTTTATCTGATGATATCATCGGTCAAATAATTAAAGCTTTCAGCAGCCGGGTATATCTTCACAAATATTGGATGGACCAATATATATATGGGCCACGTTCCCCACATGATGAACTGAAATGAATTTAGCCTTTAGATTATTAGTGAAAACGTTGGTTCAGGACCAAAACATTTTCCCATCAGCCTTATTTTGCAAATGTTAGAACAACATACTGCTAAACTAAGATGATGACTGAGTTGAGCTTCATTTCGCTGCAGTTTTATCCCATATTTTTTGTTTTATTAGGGCATGTATAGTCAGATGTGTTCAACAACCTACAGTACAAGTATTGATATCTATCATTTTTATCAAGGGACTGAATTAAGGAAAAACAGGCTGTTTAGTTGATTCAACAAGTGGTTGAATGGAGCGAACATTTCTGAGCACACGGCCAGTGAATGAAAACCTGGCCAAAAGGAATGGCCTGCATGTCGTTAATGGCAGTCCTCCTGACATATCGTTTATTCCTCAGCCGTGGGCTCTGTGGGAATGTGATCAGTAGCCTGAAGCAGCCACTCTGTTCCCTGCTGGTCTCACTTCAGCTCTCCGCTGTCCCTTTAAACACTTCCTTCCCCCGTTACCATAAAGCTGCTAGAAGAGCCTCACTGCAAAAGTCACATGCTCCAGCTCCCTTTGTTTCCCATAGAAAGCCTCTAACTATCTGTGCACGAGAGGGGCTGGAGACAAGTCATGTATGAGGGGAGATTAAGTGGATCACAACTACTGTTGGCTTCAGCTCCAAATGATGTGTCCCTCTCTGTGTCTGCAGGAGATATATAGATTTATATATATATTTATATATATATTTATATATATATTTATATATATATATATATATATATATATTATGTTTGACAACACTCTTGCTCACATTTGGAAACATGTTCAAACAATGAAATAAGAAGAGATGTTGATAAAAACAAGTTCCCTCAGTGTCTTGTTCTGACATGCATATGCTATAGATAACATACTTGAGTAATACACAATTTGTAAAATGATGAAAGACAATTAAAAGGTGTAGTTGTAAGATTCAATCCCATAACAAAACTACATTATACTACATTTGTGAAGTGAAAAGGTCAACGAAAAGTAAACACCTGGAAGAATCAATTCAGTTAAAGATAAATGATGAATCCACTATTTGTGATCCCTCACAGCAACAGTGTGGATGTGTTGTGAGTGCAGGCTCCACAGAGGCATTACGGTAGTCTACCCAATAGCCCAGGAGGAATTCCAGGAATGTGAAAAGCTCCAATTCATATTGAAACTAGATTAAAAGTTCATAACTGAACAGTAAATGCTGGTTTTAACTTAAGCAACCCAATGCATGGCTTCATGCTCTGATTGATATGCTTTGTTTCAAACTAATGTATTCATATATTCTACGGTCCTCTTTTCATTCTTAATAACGCAGCAGGGATGTAGGCTCCATATAAAGCGGTGCTGTCAGTAGATAAAGCCCATATTGATTATGTGAATGACTATACTACGTCAAAGGACTTTGGTAGGGTTATCAATAACAATGTCAACTTTTCCAGTGCACTGAACTTTTCCCCACATGAAAAGTTATGCCGACATCTGCCTAGTAACAGCAATTCCTCCCATTGGTGAAACTCCAGTCTCCTCCTGTTTGTGTGTGTGTGTTAGAACTTTAAACGTTAGCATTTTCCCTTCATGTTCTAATGGAAACCATATTTTTCCTGCTAAATATATCTATATATGTTATATCTATAACATAGATCGATCCCCTTTTGACATCAGAAAGTTAATATGCAAACAGTGGGGTTCCCATGTACAGATGTTGACTCACCAGTCCTCAAACAAGGACTCACATTAGGTCAGTCTGAGGGAGCCACATGGTGACCTTTATGTTCATTTAACTACATTACAGAGCTTCTGGTGCACAACAATTCACTTCCTTTCATTAATGTATTACAGGTAACTGGGTAAATAGAGTGTCTGTGACATATCCTGAGACTTTATCCTAACCTGTCCCCTGTGTTATTTGGAGTAGCCTACACATTAATGGAGATAGATCAAGCAGCAGCCCACTGTGTGTTTCACACTGCGCTATTGTCCCATGTGCTCACCTCATGTTCACTCAGTTTGTAGAAAGAGCTTTCATTGAGTGTTGGGGAAGAAGAGGAAGAAGGGGTGTGAGCCGTTATCGCCCCCTACCGACACCAAGCTGCCACCCCTCCCCCCGGTCAGCAGCTCCTCCACCGGGGACTCTGAGCCATGGACCTCCCACCACCTCCTCAGAAGCTACCAGGCTATAGGAGGAGGGGGCAGAGAGTGGGGGGGGGGGGGACATCCCCTCTCTCTCTTTCCTTATATATATATGTATATAATAGAATCCCTTCCTCGCGCGCTCCCTAGCAGACTGCCAGTCTCTTTGATCCCCCGCCTCCTAACAACAGCTGACGTCATCGCGCTCCACCACCTCCTCCTATTCAGCGCGCGCTCGCCGACAAACTTTGTGTGCGTGTGCGTGTCTATGCGTGTGTGTGTGTGTGCGTGTGTGTGTGTGTCAGTACGTGCGCGAGTCAGGGCTTTTTGTCTCGCGAAGGGAAGCGTTCTGAGCTTCAGACGGCTCGCGCACACCGGAGGAGCAACAGCTCGCAGCAGCGAGGAGAAAGAAAGTGATTTAAAATTATTCAAAATTAGAGGAATATATCCTTCTGTGTGCTGTAGCCTGCTCCTTCAGTAATAGAGGGACATTTGTACAGGGCGATACTAAACCTTTAATAAACGGCGGAGATAATATTACTAGGTGAAGTACTATGGAGGACCAGCTGCTGTGCTGCGAGGTGGACTCCATCAGGAGAGCCTACCAGGACGTGAACCTGCTGAACGACAGAGTTCTGAACACCATGCTGAAAGCAGAGGAGAACTACCTACCGTCGCCCAACTACTTCAAGTGTGTTCAGAAAGAAATTGTGCCCAAAATGAGGAAAATAGTTGCCACCTGGATGTTAGAGGTGGGTCTTACTTCCCTTTAACTTTCAACTTCAGTGCCGCTGCTTACTTGTTGCTAGTCTCGTTATTATCTGTGTATAACGTTAGCTAACAGGATGAAAGGTTTTTACAGCTGATGTGTGTTCATTTACTGCATGTTACATAAACGCTGTGAAGTCCTCATGAGTGCTGGGTGGTCCTTCGGCTATAATAGGACATATTGGCTCGAGACTGCATCCCTTTCCACCATGAATACCTTTTTTATTGATTATGTTTTAGCCGGCTTCTTCCATAAGGTTATGAAATGTAATAACATGGGGGAAATATTCCAAAATAACAGCAATGTACACGTATGCAGTCTGGCCCGTGCCAGTTACGCGCCATCTTTGTTGTCGAATATGAGAAGGATTTTAATAACATTAAAAATCTATGACATCAGGAACAATGACAGTAAGTGTGTTAAATGGTTTATAAATGCATGTATATCACAGGACATGGTAAGAGTGTGTGCTGCAGTGTGTTTCTCTGAAATCGGATGGAAAAGTTTGTTCTGCTGTTAACGAGCCGCTGCTCTCTGTGAAGGTCGCTCCGGGAAAAGGACATTGTGTCAAAGAGCAAAAGTATTAAATACATTTTAACAGTCGGATTTGATAGAATATGTGTTTATTAACATTACCATGAACTTTTGGATGTAATTCATTGCAGTTTTATATTTTGTTTTAATTTTTGAAATGGTGCATCGGAGAGCCGAGAGGAAGTGTCGCACAGCACGTGAAGAAGAGCAGCCTGAGAAATGTATTTATTTAAAATTCAAATGTGTCTGAATTCGACATATTCTAATCACATCCGATCAGGCATATGATAGGGATCATTTACATGATAATTACACACACCCTGGTAATTTTTAAATATTTCTAAATATTTAATGAAAAGATGACGAAGTTGAAATTGCAAAGGCTAACTTGCATCGACGCCACCTTTGTGTGTCCGTCAGAACTGACTGCACGCTATTCCCACACTCTTTTCTGTAACTACAGAAGTCTGAGGCCTACTTACTTGAATACAGAAAGCACATTATTATTTAGAATGTTTTATGCTGAATTCTCTTTACCTCGAACAGCGATTTGAACGGGATATTTAAAGCTCAAACTTGAGGTAGTAAATGCATCAAATGTTCACTTCTTGTTCATGTATTTGTTGGATGACTGTGCCTAGCACGGCGATTGAATGCAAACAGCTGTGCAGAATAAGAACAATTCGGGTGGGGGGGGGGGGGGGCAACACCAAACAATGCATGTGAATGGGGATTTTTCTTCCTGCAACTCTTAAGTGCTTTTCTCATCTCCTAGGTCTGCGAGGAACAGAAATGTGAGGAGGAGGTTTTTCCGCTGGCTATGAACTATTTGGACAGATTTTTATCAGTGGAGGCCACCAGGAAAACAAGACTACAGCTGTTGGGAGCTACATGCATGTTTCTGGCATCCAAGATGAAGGAAACCGTGCCCTTAACGGCGGAGAAACTGTGTATCTACACTGACAACTCGGTGCACCCTGGAGAACTGCTGGTAATTGACTTCTGCAGACATGGATGTTGCATAACGTGTACAGTAAACGACATAAGCAAAGCACATGACCAGAACACACATCTGGTGTGATGTGGCAGCATCATGGCACAGTCTAAACATGGTATTGATTAGACATAGATAGATGATTGGGTTGGGAAAGCGTAAATGTATGTTTGGGTCAGCAGTGCCTTAACGGCTGTCTGAGACTTTCTCATGGTGACTGGAAGGCCTCTCGTTTCATGAATGGTCTCAGTGACTGCCAACAGAACACGCACTGACTCACAGCGACACCTAGTGGCCGTGAGGCAGAGGTGCAGGCTGTTGGCAAAGAAGACACACACTCTGCTTTTGTGTTTGCTGTGACATTGTGTGTGTGTGTGTGTGTGTGTGTGTGTGTGTGTGTGTGTGCAGCTGCTTCCATTGCTTGTGTTAGGGTTACTTCATAATATAATCATATTAAATGTACAGATCCTTTGTGTTTACACGCAACAGATACAAACATTATTATTCTTAAAACATATATGCATTTATTGTTTTGATATATTTTCTATTATTTATTTGTATATATTATTAAAATATGTCTTGATGGTACTGTGCATATATATAATACGTACAGGCAGTTAAGTATGCAGCTCATTTCAAACAGTTTGAAACAAACCAAGGATCTGTTCTGCAGCTTTTATAATTGCATACTAATAATGATAATAATATGAATTATCTTCGCACTTTTCACAGTGCGAAGATAGTCGTACATTGCATATAAATGTATTGAAATGCATTACTGATAAATCTGGGGTATTTGGACCTCTACAGTGACACAAAGACAGCTGGTGACATTAACTAGGATGCTGTCAACAAAGTAAGCTATAAGTTCCATGCGCACACAGAAGTGAGCGGTGCTGGCAGGCCGAATCACACCGCAGAGGAGCAGGGAGGGAACATTGTTGTGTACTATAAGTGGGTCAGTGTGAGTGACGCCTCTGCTCTGATCCATCCACAGCAAATGGAGCTGCTGGTTCTCAACAAGCTGAAATGGGACCTGGCTTCAGTCACGCCTCACGACTTCATCGATCACTTCCTGTCCAAGCTGGAGATCTGCCCAACCACCAAACAGATCCTCAGGAAACACGCGCAGACCTTCGTGGCTCTCTGTGCTACAGGTACGACACCGGCCTTAGTACTGCTCATGTCTCCTCAGTATACTGAGACTTATTTATACATTTTCTACACTTCTTGATCTGTCTTAGTATTTCCTCTGTAGTCAGTTGATCAGTCCTGTAGCCAATTAGAAGTCAAACAGATGTGTGCTGTTCCCACAGATGTTAACTTCATTGCCAGTCCTCCCTCCATGGTGGCGGCGGGCAGCGTGGTGGCAGCTGTTCAAGGTCTCTACCTGAAGAGCCACGACGCCTCCTTGTCCTCCCAGAACCTCACCAACTTCCTGTCTCAGGTCATTCGCAGTGACCCGGTATGCAAACATACGCTGTTCGAAACCCAAAGCTATATTTCCACGTGCCCACATTGTTAGTAGTATGAAGCGGTTTGCTCAGTGTTTCCTCTGTGATTGCAGGACTGCCTGCGCTCGTGTCAGGAGCAGATCGAGTCCCTGCTGGAGTCCAGCCTGCGGCAGGCTCAGCAGCACAGCAGCTCCACGGAAACCAAACGTGTGGACGAGGACGTGGACCTGTCCTGCACCCCCACAGATGTGAGAGACATCAACATCTGAAATGACTGACCAAGGTGTTGTGATGACCTGATGATGGAGGGAACGTTGTCGACAGAGGGTGGAGATGGCGGGCTGACCTCAGCCCCCCCCCTCCTCCTTCTTCCTGGTGGCCGACATGTCGCCCCGCAACAACTCCCCTGTCACATTTCCTGCCAGTGCCCCCTCCCTCTCTGGGGACAGAAATGAACACGACAGAAATGTACACGAAACAGACGCAGAATGCGGAGGACCTGCGTGGGCTGGAGCTGAAGCCACACAACCATTCATCTTTTCTCAGTCCCTCACATCAAAGTAGGAATCTTGAAATGACCCAACTTCTCAAAGTGTCACGTACAGTAGGACCTTGTTGTGTCTTCAGGTCTGAATATGGAATCTGAGAGACATTTTATTTGTCATTTCTCTATTGGTATATCTAATGTTTTGACTTCCTGTCCAAGCTCCAATGTTTGTATCGCTGCAGTGCAAACATTCATTGATCCCTGCTTGCTTATGTTTAGTCACTTTATGATATATCATTTTAGATTTCCTTTTTCCATTGGTTGTATTCCTCTTTTCTCTCAGCGTTTGTGTTTTAAACAAGTGTAGTGTACGAGCCTGTGGGTGGGGGCGGAGGAGGTGCAGTCTGCGGCTCTGCTCTGTGTAGTCAAACCATTCCAAACTCTGTCAAAACAAAAAGAAGCACTTTTGGTCAGCACTGCTGGTCGCCTAAAAGAATTCACAGTGATTACTTTTGTAAACAAAATATAATGGGGGGTGGAGCAGGGGTCTCTTGGCGATGAAGGAGTCAGAGCGACAGCTGCCAGAATATTTTCATCTAATGGAAGAAGAGTGAGCTTGTGGCAGAAACAGACGACATGCTGCTTGATACTGTCATGGGACTCTCTGTAGCTGCCAACGATCTGAGTGTGAGTTCAACCCACGTTCCACACGCTGCTCTAAATGAAAGTGAGGAGCCAGAGCCTGAAGGTCCAAGCAAAAGGACTATTCTTTTATATAGTTCAACATATTATTTATTTAAGCCTTCCTTTTCTAGCTTTCAGAGTCTCTGTGTCTCCACCTACTGCTGAACTATCTGCCTCCAGAGCAGCCAACTCTGCTCTTCATCGTCTCCTCAGTTTAAGTACCGCTCATGGAATCTTGGAAGGGCATGAAGCTAAAAGAAGAGGAGTGTTGAGACTATGATTTTGCACAAAAATAAAAGACGCAGGCTTCGTTTCTTGGGGACTTGCCTAAAGAATGTGGAGAGCACAGCGGGCAAGCTACCTGAGGGGTGCAAAGGGTGAAGGCTCAACGGGAGGGGCGTCTTAATGCTGTAGAGTTCAAGCCAAGGTTCCTTCACAGGACGCCAACCATTTCACCAGCAGCTTGATGTAAGCTTTAGATGTGATGGGTCAATGCAGGAAGGCTCTCTGCGCAAAGTATTCTGGAAGTATGTCACGGTGTGTCGGACACCAGGTTTCTGATTGTACATTATGGATAGAGAGTAGGAGAGAAACACTCCTTGTAATCCGCTGCTAGAGACAAATGAATCCCAGCTACGAGTTTAAAAGGAAAAACATGACAAAAAACCTAAGAATTAAAAATGAGCTTTTCTTTGTTGTTTGCTGCTACATTTTTGGTGTTTTTTTATACATATAAATGTCAATATACTGCCATTCTAGGTTTGAATTTTCTCATAGAAAATTGTTTTATTGACATCCTCATCTGTTTTGTTTATGTCGATTCTATGTGATCTGTTTATAATTTCATATGATTTTCCGAAATATTCCAAAAAAACAAGGAAAATGAGACGATGTACAGAAATGCTTTGATCCACAATACCTCATGTGACAGTCAAGATCTATCTCTAATTTGTAGTCTTTCTATTGTTTAGTCCTTTGGGTTCAGCGCCTGCTGGCTCTGTCCAACCTGCTGTGATGGAACGTCCAGGCCATGCTCTGATACTGGTGCCATAACACAACATGGGATGTGTATAACTCTGTTGAGTGTTAAGCTGTCTCGTGAAAGACACGTTGTCCCCCTTTAGGCCCGTAGTGGCCCCTTTTATATTTATAAAAAAAAGCTTTTTGCTCCAATTTTCAACTGTCCTGAGTTGCTGAGTTTATAAATAGATTCAGTGTCCGTGCTCGGTAAGCCATAGACTGTTTTTTGTTACAAATCATTCCACACAGTTGTGTCTACTTCATGCCAGATGTCTGCAACCCTTGTCGACTACACAATAAAAAGATGAATTAGATGGACTACGGCTGTCTGTTCTTGGCGACAAAAGAGTCTTCGCACCGCGTTGTTGAGCATCTCGGTGATGTAGTTAGAGTCCCTTTGTAGGAACAACTTGTGGGACATTTTTCAGATTTCAAAAACACTACTGCATTAAGCGAGCAACAAATACATATAACCATACAGACATATTACCAATACTAACACCTTTTTGAATACGTGTGCAGTCCCTATGCTACACTGCAGCACTCTGTTACATTATGACTACTATTAAACGTGTCGCACTTTGGTTACCAGAAATACTCCCCTAAAGTGTGAGTTACATGTTCTCAGAGTGTACAGTTATTTGTGCAAGCTACTTTCAGAACATGTTTAACAAATGACCCTAATGCAAAGTGGTGGGGACACGTCCCCAGTGTGATGACGCATATGGTTAAAGTCATATTCAATGAAACATGTTTGCTAAGCGATAACCTTAAACACTTTATTGATGTAGTTCAGGTTACTCCAACAGAGCATTCATCCACTGATTAACACGCAACTGCTACACACACTGCTACACACACTGCTACACACACTGCTACACACACTGCTACACACACTGCTACTCAAACTGCTACACACACTGCTACACACACACTGCTACACACACTGCTACACACACTGCTACACACAATGCTACACACACTGCTACACACACTGCTACTCAAACTGCTACACACACTGCTACACACACTGCTACACACACTGCTACACACACTGCTACACACACTGCTACACACACTGCTACTCAAACTGCTACACACACTGCTACACACACACTGCTACACACACTGCTACACACCACTGCTACACACACTGCTACACACACTGCTACTCAACTGCTACAACACTGCTACACACACACTGCTACACACACACTGCTACACACATGCTACACACACTGCTACACACACTGCTACACACACTGCTACACACACTGCTCACACACACTGCTACACACACTGCTACACACACTGCTACACACACTGCTACACACACTGCTACACACACTGCTACACACACTGCTACACACACACTGCTACACACACTGCTACTCAAACTGCTACACACACTGCTACACACACACTGCTACACACACTGCTACACACACTGCTACACACACTGCTACACACACTGCTACTCACACTGCTACACACACACTGCTACACACACTGCTACACACACTGCTACACACACTGCTACACACACTGCTACTCAAACTGCTACACACACTGCTACACACACACTGCTACACACACACTGCTACACACACTGCTACACACACTGCTACACACACTGCTACTCAAACTGCTACACACACTGCTACACACACACTGCTACACACACTGCTACACACACTGCTACACACACTGCTACTCAAACTGCTACACACACTGCTACACACACACTGCTACACACACACTGCTACACACACTGCTACACACACTGCTACTCAAACTGCTACACACACTGCTACACACACTGCTACACACACTGCTACACACACTGCTACACACACTGCTACACACACTGCTACTCAAACTGCTACACACACTGCTACACACACACTGCTACACACACACTGCTACACACACTGCTACACACACTGCTACACACACTGCTACACACACTGCTACTCAAACTGCTACACACACTGCTACACACACACTGCTACACACACTGCTACACACACACTGCTACACACACAATGCTACACACACTGCTACACACACTGCTACTCAAAC